TTATTTAATCAGCAACATAGAATCATGACGTAGATCATCATACACTTTGTTATGAACAGCTGTACTATCTGCATGTATGCTATCCTGACAGCGTAGGGCTATCTGATGGACCAACGGCTCTGCGGACCACAACCGTGGCCGAATTGGACTAGGAGTCCGCCATTTTCACCACACTGCAGCAAAACACCTTCATAAACGCTTAACAGTGTGATTTCACTCCTTAGTTTTACCTCTGTTGTGCCGAAAGGCACTTAGGAGAACTAACTACTGTTATCAATCACCTTTAAACTGTTTACTAATTAGCTTACCTTCAAATGACAGAAGACAGCGGGTTACTCGGGCCATCTTCTTCTACTGACCAGAGTGTCAACAACTGGTGCATACGGCACCGAGCGCCTTCTGCTGGCAAAAAATGTATTGCGCTTTAAATAAAACAAAAGACTTCAATAGTTTCTCAGAAGAAAGGGATTTTAGACATAAAAATAAAAATGGGGGCTACTATTTTTATGTAACTATCTATTTCATAGTGCCACACTAAAATTTACTGTTAAAGATAAGAACCAAGCAACACATGGTTGAAGATGCTGATGAAGATTACAGGATTTCTTCTTTATGAGTAAACTTTTACAGATGAAAATGTAAAAGTAAAAGCTTATCCGCTGTCATTCTTAGCATTATCATTCATGGTGGCAGGCTGTGTCCAAACTGTGCTCCAATATTTATGGATTTTAAATCAACTCCACCGGATTCCAACTCCTGACTGGGAAAAGAGGGGAAAATATTGAGATTACAGCCGACAGCTGGTGGACATTACAGAGATATTTTATGACAATTTCAAGGCGGTTAAGATCTAAACCTAAAATAAAACCAGCTTCAACTCAGAAGAAATTTGTAATAGTCCACAGATCTCGATCTTTTCATGCTGGCCATAAACCTAAAATTTGATCCCATCTGATCAGACCACCATCTTCCACATGTTTGGTGTGTTCCTTTTATGGCTGCAAGCAAAACGCAAGCGGGAATTCCTCCACTATCGTATCTGTTCTTGCCACTTTAACAAGAACAGCAGATTTATAGATGCTGCTAGAAGTTGTCATTTAAATGGAGTTAAGGGGTTTTTAATGCTCCACCAAGACAGTGTACACGCAAAAACCACTGGGCCCAAAGTTAGCTCCAAACGTGCTCTCAAACACATTCAGAACAATTTGTCCTGTCATCTCTTCTGGAGCTGGGTCGGATAGTCTGCCATTGATCTACCCTATGTGTTTACATGAGACCTGAGGGCGTGTCGGCGGATATGTTTCACTTTCTCTGCCTGCAAGCCCAGTTGTCGTTCCGCTCTCTAATTACCTGCTGCTAATTAGAGAGAAAGACATGCAACTTCAGGTCAAAGAACATAAAACACCTCTCAATCTGGGAGGATTTCTCTC